GGGGCAGGGAGCAGCAGCTCATTTGCATTTAAAGACACAGGCCCAAAAAACAGCTTGTTTCTGCTTCCACTCAAAATAGGCATTTTCAAAATGATATAATAAATGATCTGTGGAGTATTTTGAGCTGAAACTTCACAGACACATTCTGGGGACACCAGAGACTTATATTACATATTGTACAAAGGGGCATAATATGTCTCCTTTAAATGCTCAATGCAAAATGAACGGAGCAGCAAACTCTTATTGGATTAAAATCAATACGGATGTAATGTTTGTTTTGCCAGGTGTCAAATTCCCAACAGTTTTCCGATCGTTAAAGTCTGAAGTGAGAGCAAGGGCACAATAACACTGAGAGTCTGAAGGCCATGACACTATAGAAGGAAACCAAGATCTCTGGGATTTTTACACAGCTAAATAAATGGCCTTTACATACAGTGACGTAGCACGGAACATGCAAAAGATGCCACTATGGTCCTCTAGTGTGTTTAAAAACACAAAAAGTTTGTTTCTACATAGTTAATAAATAGTCAATGTTTGCAAACGGGATGATGTAGTGACTATGTATGTGAGATTATTGGTTTGATAACTAACTTGGTGTCTTCTGTGTTTGACTTTGAGGGCAAAAACAAAGGGAAATGGAAGAAAACTCAATAATTATTACAATATCTTAACCACACTGCATTTTTTGATTTTAAACATATGACCAATAAATGCATGGGTAATGCACATACAGAGATACAAGGTGCTACATTGTTGTAAAACGTAATCTGAAACTAGCAAGAGTTGCAATGAGGCTTTTTTTGCATCTGGATGCTGTCAAGGCCAAGCCAGCAATTTCTTTATTCAATAACTCATGCTATGCTTATACAGCAGCATTGGCAATATTTCCAACTTAAGTGCAATGAATAGGATATAAATGCATCTGAATTGGGGTCAGAAATTATTCAAGGATCAGGACATAAAGACCCTCCAGAAATGCCCTAGATATTTAAAAGCGGGGGCCAAAAATTGTTATCTGCTACCTAACTTGATAAATATTTTATCTAGGCCTATCTAGGTATGAGTTCAGAAACAATGACATTATTCAGCATTATTTCTGACAATGACATTTGATATAAATGGACAGCACTCTGTGTGACGTTATAAAAATTTGGATGATGAATCGTGCACAAAAAGACCAGGAATGCATGGAAGAAAATAAATTGGATCAAGTGGGCAGATGAAACTTAAGACAGACTCAGCCAACCTCCAGAGCCTCCAATCACTGGCTGATAATTAAAATAGCTGAACACATGGCTTACAATGCCTCAACAGTCCTGTCAATGGAATCCCTACCAGACATGTTTTCCTTTCCCAGGTGGGCGGGGCGTTCCGATGGAACGTGAGTGGGCGGGGCATCTTATGACTATTTACATATTCAACAGCCTTGAAGCGCCTCATTAACATTACTATAATAACCAACTACAGCCTTCAACAAAAAAATCCCAAATCAGCTAAATAAGAGCGCGAACAAATGTGGAAAGCGATGGATATTGACAAAGATGAGCAGTGTCACTCTGCAACAGATATTCAAATGAAAGTGCATGCAGGAAAATATGTGAACTGGGGGGGAAAGGCCTGTCCAAAAACGAAAACGAAGCCTAACGTACTTGACGTTGAAAAAAAAAAAACAAGATAGGTGTCAAAATATTCACATTCGCTCGATAGACGCACACAGTGAAGCATTTGCAGATAAGAACATGTTTACTCGACCTTTTGTCCCCTGTCAGCTCACAGTCTGTCATGTTTTTGTCAAGTACGGGGCTTGGGGGACTGGAGAAGAGGCTCACAAAAGCCAAAACTGGCCCTTCTCCGCAACCAGAGTGAGGAGCATCAGTCACTCGTTGGCTGAAGGTTTTGATATAACGTTACTGACAGTCTGGAGGAAAAACTCACGGTTTACGCGTCTCAACAACACATGAGACGCTTAACAGACATTATATCCGCTCTCATGTTTAACGCTGTCTCAACACAGCTTTGATACCCTCAGCTTTGTGTATGTCCCCGGCGGTTTCACAGATGCCCTGGTGCGAGACTGCAGACGCAGAATATTGTGTTTATGTTCGAAGGCTTTTTCGGGATCTTCCACAGACATGGCGCCCGCAACTCTTGCGTGAAAATGGCTGCGAGGATCTTGCAGGAGCCACTGGTCCCGCCCAGTTCGTGAGCGGAGCCAATCGCTGGGCTTCGAAGCTACAACGACTCGCTCTGCTATTGGTTGGCGCCTAAGCGCGAAAACATTTTTCTCTTAATCTATTGGCTGTTGAGAATGTCATCGTTTTGATGCTCGCCGTACATGTTAGAATGACGCACTATTTATATTCTGATGTTTATTACTTCATTAACCGTTCTGTTTTGGCATTTGATTTAATCAAATAACTCCTGTTTCTAAAACATTGCAATGTCCCTTGGTTTAATACACTTTTAATACTTTTAACGACCAGTGTTGGGGAAAGTTACTTTTAAAAGTAATGCATTACAATATTGCGTTACTCCCTAAAAAAGTAACTAAGTACGTTACTTTTTATGGAAAGTAATGCGTTACGTTACTTTCGCGTTACTTTTCAAATATGAGCAGGGCTTGATTGTTTTTAACATAAGAAGTTCTATTTATAGCAAATGTAAAAGCCCTTTCACACCAAAAAGTGTAATGAATAAACCTCAGGCTGAAGGAAAAGTAAACTCACGTCTAACGCAGGAGAAGAAACACTCTTCAGCAATAAAATAACAATGAAGCACAATTGTTAGTTTATCTAAAGTCATTTTTGCTTATTAGTATGGTTGAACTGGATCATCAAAGGTCAGCAGCAAAGATATTAGTTAAAGACAAGTTTGCGTCATATTCTGAGTTTGCATTTCATTGTTTTAATTCATTTTGATGAATACTAAATCTGTTTTTTTGTGAGTGAGTGGGATGAATTAATGCACATTCATATTTAGTCTAGAACTACAGTAACATCATGTTCACACAGCGCACACGACGCCTCTGTACTTACGATTTCTCCCAGTATGGGGACAGGAGACTTAAATAAATGGGAAAACAAAGTAACTGGTGTTACTTTTTTGAAAAAGTAACTCAGATATTTTCTTGTAAATTAAAAAGTAATGCGTTACTTTACTAGTTACTTGAAAAAAGTAATCTGATTACGTTACTTGTAATGCGTTACCCCAACACTGGTAAAGACTAAATACTGAATAGGACACTTTACAATGAGGTTCATTAGTTAACTACTTTAGTTAACATGAACTAAGAATGAACAATACTTCTACAGCATTTATTAATCTGGGTTAATGTTAATTTCAACATTTACTAATGCATCATTAAAAACTAAATTTGTGCTTGTTAACAATAGTCAATGCACTGTGAATTAACACGAACTAACAGAGAACTGTATTTTCATTAACTAACATTAACAAAGATGAATAAATACTGTAATAAATGTATTGTTCATGTTAGTCAATACATGAACTAACATTAACAAATGGAACCTTATTGTGAAGTGTTGCCTATGAAACAAATGGAGCAAAAATTGAACAATAGAAAAGTTTAAAGGAATAACTCACATTCCCAATGCAATACCAATATACTATATACAGCATTTGTCATAAACAGCCTGTTTATTTTGTGAAGGCTAAAGGAATGATTGCATGTGAGGGTGATTTCATAATTACAATACTGTAAAGTATCTGTTAGGCCAGTGAATCTCAACCTTTTGGCGTGCCGGACCCCAGTCCAATTCAGAACCATCCTCAAGGACCCACAGAACAAAATTGACTCATCTACTGTATGTCTTTGTGAGGACCAAATGTAGTCAAGTATAATTCAAGTTAGTTGACCATATCATCATCGCCATATCATCAGCAATATTGGATTTTTCTTTCATGGGAACATGTCAAAATATACAAAATGTATACTAAAATTCATACTTTATACGGACCCCCTGGCCTTACATTAAGGACCACTAGGGTTCCACGGACCCCTGGTTGAGAAACACTGTGTTAGACTATGCAAAATAAAAAAGTTCCACTACATTTACAAACTCTTTAAGCTGTGATAAACAAGCTTGTATAGCACATGTATGTCTGCAAGATGTCTGTTAAACGTCGCTTCATCTGGAAAGCATCTGCTGTGTACAAACATCTGATAGACGTCTTTAAGATGTCATGCAGACGCCAAATAGACGTCTCCGTGATGTACGTGTGCTATCAGAGTTAGTATCCAAAAAAGTAGTATGTAAAATTTATGTCTTTGTGAGGACCAAATGTAGTCAAGTATAATTCAAGTTAGTTGACCATATCATCATCGCCATATCATCAGCAATATTGGATTTTTCTTTTCATGTCAAAATATACAAAATGTATACTAAAATTCATACTTTATACGGACCCCCTGGCCTTACGTTAAGGACCACTAGGGTTCCACGGACCCCTGGTTGAGAAACACTGTGTTAGACTATGCAAAATAAAAAAGTTCCACTACATTTACAAACTCTTTAAGCTGTGATAAACAAGCTTGTATAGCACATGTATGTCTGCAAGATGTCTGTTAAATGTCGCTTCATCTGGAAAGCATCTGCTGTGTACAAACATCTGATAGACGTCTTTAAGATGTCATTTCAAACATAGCCTACTTTCTAAATCATAAACATCTTAAAGACATTTTCTAAACGTCTATTTGACATCTGACAGGAAACGTCCTGTAGAAGTATTGCAGATGAGCAAACACTCTAAAAAATACATCTTGCGGATGTAAATGCAGACGCCAAATAGACGTCTCCGTGATGTACGTGTGCTATCAGAGTTAGTATCCAAAAAAGTAGTATGTAAAATGATGATGTCTTTCTAAACCAACATTACATTCTATATATATATATATATATATATATATATACATATATGAATTTTCAAATTGAAGCAAACTACTTTTTTAACTACTATTCGACTTTTCTAATTTGACTTCTTTTTCTTCTGCAGTACGCCCTTCAGTCAATGTGTATACCGAGTTTCCTGAACAACAAGGAAAAGTAAACGTGCTTTACTGCTATGCCACTGGGTTTTACCCTGGTGACATTGAAGTAAACTTTTATCTAAATGGCCAAAAGTCCACTGTGAAAGCAAAGACCTCTGACTTAATGTATGGGGAAGACTGGACCTTCAGAGTGTACAAGTATATGAATATCACCCCACAGTATGAAGACAAATACACATGTGAAGTGAGACACAGTAGTATGGTTGAACCTAAAATGACAGAGTGGAGTAAGTTTGTTCACTTTTTTTTGGAAATGATGAAATATAAAATGCGTTTAAAAAGTAATACATTGATAAAATCAGTAATAAATCTGTCTGCTCTTTTCTCAAGGGCCTGAATTTTCAGTATCCACATCACCTCTCTACTGGACTTATTCACTACCTCTCAGCATCCTGTTGGGCATCATGGTATCAGTCCTGATTTTAAGAAGAAAATGCCGTTCTCAGTTATAATGGTGCTTTGAAAGACTAAACTGCAGCATATATGTGCATCTGTGAATTTTGTTGCTTATATCCTCCTGGGACCCAGGCATAGACCTCTGTAGTGGACATTATAATTGAGTGAATTTCTCTACATGCCACATTTAGGTCTGGATGTCCTGTTCAGAGCACATTCAGGGCTTTTCAGAGATACTAAATGTTTGGAGGTTTGATTATAAACACTCCCCCTCTTTGTTCTTTAAAAATGTTCTTTAAAAATGTTTGTCGTAAATAAACATCTCAGAAAAATGTTATGGGGTTTCAAATCGGAATATGACTTTTTGTAATGAAACAAGGCATGCTTTTCATGTAGAGGACACCAGGACAAACGGCTGTTAATCAGGCATTTTGGGAAACACAACAAGCCAATAGGGAAAGAAATTATAGATCAATATTCCTATGAAATATGAGATACTCTTATGAAAATGTTGCAACGTTATTACTCCCATAATAACACTTCTTTTTCATGATGGTTTGCCCCAAGAACACATTAACATGCAAATTAGATGCAGTGTATAGATACATGCAAACATGCAAATTAGATGCAGTGTATAGATACATTGAATAAAATGGGAATATTAATTTATGGACATTTTACACACGTGTTGCATAAAGTAAAATAGTATATCAAATCATTCTGTTATTTCTTTCATAACATAGTTGAGAATCATCTTTGTACAAAGTTTGGCTAAAAATAGCCTGAAACCTAAAAACTGATTGGTGAATGAAAAAAATAAATCATTGTTTTTGCCTATACATGCCTTTTCATGTCTATTAATTTTTTTAATAACTTAGTCCTGACGTCCTCTACAAAGGACATAAAATAAAATAAAACAGTTTTTCCTCCATTTGTTTTTTTATGCTCCAACCAATGTAATGACATAATAAATAAATAAAGGATATAGATGAGCACAATACAGAACTCATTCATTTAGGTATAATCCATCACCAGATCCTTAAATTATTTCATTTAATCTTCAGATTTGTAACTGAAGTAAATATCCGTGTTTACATGTTTTGGTGTCCTTTAGTCACTCTAAAAAAAAATGTGATTAATAAAATTCAATATTTACTGTGCAAGACCCAACCTGAACACATGGTGGCAGCAAAACCACAAAAACTTGACATTGCGTTCCGTTAGAATTCAGTGGTTCCCAACCCTGGTCCTTGAGGCACCCCAACACTGCACGTTTTTACAGTAAGGCCTCTAGCTCTAATACTAGACCTGACAACATTTCTATTCTCGCTTTCAGAGGCTAGTAATGATGGCTGAGACTTTAGATCTCAAACCAATTAGGGTTCACACAGTTGTTGTTTTTAGCAATATGTATGTCAGGATGCTTGCTTGCTAAGAATTGGTACAGATATGTCTACATTTCTGAGATTCTGGTAGATTTGTTAGTCTACTTTTTATGTACTCAAATCAAGACTTAATAGACTAGACCAGTGGTTCCCAACCCTGGTCCTGGAGGCACCCCAACACTGCACGTTTTGCATGCCTCCTTAATCAAACACACCTGATTCAGATCATCTGCTCATTAGTAGAGACTTCAAGACTTGAAATTGGTGTGTCAGAGAAAGGAGACATGCAAAACGTGCAGTGTTGGGGTGCCTCCAGGACCAGGGTTGGGAACCATGGCGTTAGATCCTCATCCCAACTTCAATAACTTTTAAAACATTTATTTAGAAAATTTAGCAGACAAATGTCATCAATTGTAAGCCACATGTTTTATGTCTCATACTTATCATACATATGTAGATATTTACAGTATCAAAGAGACATTTTGATTGACGAATGAATGCTGCCCTCACAAAAGAATCTGCGCTTAGCGAATCGGTTCAACAGAATCGTTTAAAAGAATCATTCCAAAAGAACAACTCGCGAATCAGACATCACGACTCCACAGGCGCTCGCGCGTCTTCGTGAGGAAATCAGGAGCATCTTTACTAACTCCTGCAACAGTTTATCAAACATTTCCTCTCAGGCTTGTTTCCCAACGACTGTTAGACTGCACAGCTTGGAACCGTAAACACACTTAAGGATTAAAAACACAAGAAGACAAGAAGAAAATCCAGTGCTTTTACAGAGATTCAGAAATAGGAGGATGAAGTTATCATGCACAGTTTTTCTCCTGCTGAATTTTGTATCATTGTATGACTGTAATGATGCAGCGCAGGTGAGTATAAACGTGTATTTATAATTCTATTATTGATATTTACATAATATAATTAATAGCTCTATAATATTTATATGAATATAGAATTATAATGTAAATAATCAATCATATTATATTAGTACATTATATGATTTTTTCTTATTATGGGATGTTGCAAAAATCTAGGTATCGAAAGCAGTCTCAATTACAAACATTTGACAAACTTGGCATACAGTACATACATGGATTTGAATAAATATTGTATGATATTTTGTTTTGTTAATTTACATTTGCTCCAAAAATACTGGATTGTGGAATCACATAAACAAACCAGCATGTCAAGAATCATATGTGCTCAAATTCTGCAAGATTGTTGGTCTTTTCTGACTTTTCTTCATCATTTTTGCTCAGTGCCTTTTAGTTAGGGGATTTGGTGATTTGTAGTGGATTTATGAAGTCAGTTTTTTCATAGGTGTATCTTTTTCAACCTAACTAATTTCTGTTTGAGTTTTGCTTGATTTGTTTCTTCACAATAAATCCCACTTGCATAGATAAAAGTTTACGTTTAATCGAATTCAATGATATTGAGACGTTTTAGGTGTGACTTGAGTGTCCAAAAGGTTTTGGAGCCAGCGATGTAAGTTATATCATTAAATATGTCGGATGCATTTTTGTATTTTATCCAGATTAGCACTGCCTTTATTTACCATGGCAGACGCTTGGTGAAATTTAAAGCCAATACATTTCCTCTCTCCTCTAACGAGACTGTATTTAACTGCCATGAATAACATATAGGAGACCAGCGTTTTGGACAGAGGTCGTAGAGACATCTGCCTAACAGCTTTCTGTAGAGCTGCCTTCAAGCAGCTGAAGAGAAAAAGCGAGTATTAGACTCTTACATGTGGTTCCCGGAGGGGACCTTAGAGGTTGCCCACTGACCGAATGCACGGTCCAAATGCATTTGGGACTACATTGCTTCTGATATATTGTTGCTGGAGTAATATTTGTGTTTCTAAGGGAACTGGGTTGTGTGCTGGCACGCCGATGAGCTGCTAAACACTGGCCTGAGCTTTCATGTCATGCCCCACAGGAGTCCCTGTGCCTTAATGCATGACATCACCCACAACATCTGGCCTTGATCATTCATGTGTGCCATTTTTCATTTTCATACAAAGCTAACGTTTAGTGGGAATGTTCCTTGCGATCGTTTTGGATGTCCAATATCTCCTCCATATGAGCTTGTGTTCAGGCGAATCTGTAATTTAGGGATAACTGCTTGCCATCAAATTGTAACCAGGTGCTGGGATGGTTGCTTTTTTTGCTTCAGGGTTGTATGGATAAGCACCGAGTGATGGGGATACTGCGTCAAATGGAGAAGTTTCTTAAAGGACAGGAGATCCGATTCACCGAAGGGCTTCGGATTATGAAGTCCAAGCTCACCAACCTTCAAAACTCAGTGTCCAAGCTCCCACAAGCAGACCAATCCTCATGTAAGTGCCATAACACGTGACACACTCACACATCTCATTATATCAATGGACTGTGTGACTGGTTCTTTCTTCTTTCCTAAATGTGCATGTTTATTTCTGACTTACTGAGTCCACATAGAGCAGGTGTGTGATGTCATTCAGGCATCTGGAGTTGCTGGCGTCATAGTCCTCGACTCGAGGGCACTGTAAAACATACTTCAAAGTGGAATATGAAATATGTAAACCTGCAGGCTGCTTCAGATTTGAGGCCAGCCAGCGCTGTTATTGTTTTAGAACTAAAACGATCAAAAATAGCTTCCAGTAAAGCTGAAATTAAAACACAAATATTAGATGAAACACTAGAAATACACTGAAAAAAATGGTGTAAGATTTACTTTGAAACCATTTTCACTCAGAAATGGCTAGTTAATTTTTTACAAATAATTACAAAGAAACTACAAGAAACACATTGAATTAAAGGGGTCATATGATGTTGCTAAAAAGAACATTATTTTGTGTATTTGGTGTAATGCAATGTGTTTATGCGGTTTAAGGTTCAAAAAACACATTATTTTCCACATACTGTACATTATTGTTTCTCCTCTATGCCCCGCCTTTCTGAAACGCGTAGATTTTTACAAAGCTCATCGGTCTGAAAAAGCAAGGTGTGCTGTGATTGGCCAGCTATCCAGTGCGTTGTGATTGGCCGAATACCTCAAGCGTGTGACTGAAATGTTACGCCCCTCCACACATCTGAATATTTGGGTTGAAGTGTTCTGGAACAGTGTTGTAAATACTTAACCAACTTAACCACTGCTTTCTAGTCATGTCCTCTTTTGGAAGACCGAACAAAGTAGTTTCGCTTTCATCAACTTTGCGCTGTGGATCGCCGGATCGGCTTTCACCGTGGATGAAGCAGAGTCCAGCCCGGGATCGTCACATGTGTTTGCCGCAAGCCCACTGGACGCTCCTTCATCGAATCTGCAGGCCGCCGCTCACTCAAGCCGCTGGCCTCCGCTCACTCTAGCTGCAGGCCTGCAGATTCGACGAAGGAGCATCCGGAAGGACATGTGATGACCCCGGGCTGGACTCCGCTTCATCCACGGTGAAAGCCGATCCG